CAACCTCTGGGGGCCTCAGAATATCCACAGGCAGGGTTGGGAGGGAGGGAAACAGGAGGGTTTATCAGCTACCACCTCACCCCACGTCCTGTGGAGGCCAAGTTCCCCTTCCAGCCTGGCCGCAGTCTCTCCCCCAGCACTTCCTGTTGGGGTGTCCTTAGCTCCACCCCAGAGCTAGGCACTTTCCTCCCTGACACAGGGACCTGGACCCACTCTGCGCGGTGGCCAGAGGCAGACATGGTGCCCCTGCTGCTGCTGCTGCTGCTCCTTCTGTGGAGGGGTGAGTTTGCTGAGGGACGGGGGGGGGGGGGGGGGGGGCCTGCAATGGTGGGGGAGGGGTGCGGGTTGCATCTGAGCTTCTGTGTCCCCCTCTGCCAGGGTCCCTGCAGGAGCAGCCAGGCTTTGAGCTCCGAGTTCAGGATTCGGTGACGGTGCAGGAGGGTCTGTGTGTCCACGTGCCCTGCTCCTTCTCCTACTGGAGGAGTTCAGGAACTTCCTCTGCCAAAGTCTTCACCTACTGGTTCCGGGAGAGGGACAGGAGAAACCCTCGTGCTCCTGTGGCCTCACGCTACACAGATGAACCAGTGAAGCCGGAGACCAAAGGCCGCTTCCTCCTCGCAGACCCCAGGACCAACAACTGTTCCCTGCAAATCAGAGACGCCAGGTGGAGTGACACAGGACGCTACAACTTCCGAGTGGAGATAGGATATCCTGCATATAATTTCCAAGGATATCCCCAAAGATATAACTTCCAAGAATATACTTACCAAGATAAGAAGCTGGGTTTACAGGTGACAGGTAAGGCCGGGGCCCCGGAGAGGACCCAGGGCCATGGGACTCGGTCTTAGAGCAGAAACAGGACGCTGGACACTCCTGTCCAGGCCTTGGGCCCTGAGTGATGGGAAGAGACACGGGGTCTGGGGTGAGCTCTGGCCCAAGGTTGGGCCTCTCTCAGGATTCCACTCTGAGTCCCCACCCCTGGAGCCCAGGCACCTGCCTTTCTCCCCTGCAGCCCTGACAGAGAAACCCCACATCCGTATTCCGGAGCCTCTGCAGTCCGGCCGCCGCACTCAGTTCGCCTGCATCCTGCCAGGGTCCTGTGAAGGGGGACGACTTCTCACCTTATCCTGGGCGGGAGCCTCTGTGGACTCGCTGGACCCCCGGAACCTCCGATCCTCGGTGCTCGCCTTCACTCCCAGGCCCGAGGACCATGGCACCAACCTCACCTGTCAGGTCCAAGTCCAAGGATCTTCGGTGGCCACACAGACAACCATCCGGCTCAATGTCTCCTGTGAGCGATGAAGGGGTGGCTGGGTCCATGGGAGCAGTGTGTGTGTGTGTGTGTGTGTGTGTGTGTGTGTGTGTGTTGGTCTCTGTGTGTGTGTGTGTGTGTGTGTGTGTGTGTGTGTAGGCTGAGGAAACCTGAGAACACTAATACATGGCTCTGTATGTAAATGGGGAGTGGGCCAGATGGACCACTTTCCTCCATTCCCGGTTCCCACTACCCCTCCTTGGGATTGGGGTGACTTCCATCTGAAGTGGGGCCCTGTCTTTCTCTCCCAGATGCTCCTAGGAACCTCACCATAGGCGCCTCCTTCAGATATGACACAGGTAGGAAAGAACCCCTCCTCTCTGGGCTGGGACCTGCCCGGTGCCCTGGTGGGGCAGAGGGGGGAGCAGGAGTTTGAATGGGATCAGACATGGGAAGGGCAAGGATGGAAGTTATCACCCCAGTCCCTCACCTCTGGTAAGTGCCTCACCTGTGTTCCACCTCTCTCTCTCTCTCTCTCTCTCTCTCTCTCTCTCTCTCTCTCTCTCTCTCTTTCTCTCTCTCTCTCTCTCTCCCTCAAAATCGTTCTGCTCAAAGCCTTTAAGAATTTGCAAAACACATCCCTTTCCATCCTGGAGGGAGAGGCCTTGAGGCTGCTCTGTGTGGCTGACAGCAACCCCCCTGCCAATCTGAGCTGGTTCCAGGGATCCCCAGACTTTAATGCCACCCCCATTTCCACCACTGCGATCCTGGAGCTTCCTCATGTGGGGCCTGCACAGGAAGGAGAGTTCACCTGCCAAGCTCAGCACCCACTGGGCTCCCAAAACCTCTCTCTCAACCTCTCCGTGGCCTGTGAGTGGGGAGACCCCAGGGGGCAAGACAGCTGGGTTCTGGGGAGATGAAAGCCACCACTGACCCTTCTCCTCATTACCCACAGATCCCCCCCAGCTGCTGGGACCCTCCTGCTCCTGGGGGCACCAGGCTCTGCACTGCAGCTGCTCCTCCAAGGCCCAGCCGGCCCCCTCCCTGCACTGGAGGCTGGACAAGGGACTGCTGGAGGGGAACCACGGCAATGCCTCTCATGTGGTCACCTCCAGCTCAGTGGGGCCCTGGGCCAACAGCTCCCTGATCCTCCGTGTGGGCCTCAGTGAGGGACTCAGGCTCAGCTGTGAGGCCTTGAACATGCATGGGGACCAGAGCGCCTCTTTCTTGCTGCTGCCAGGTCAGGGGTCTTATTGGGGGCAGAGTCTTTGGGTGAAAGGAGTGGGTCAAGTAGAACGTGGAGCTGGGGGAGGGGAGCTGTGGCTTGGGCAGGAGGGATTGCTAGGGCAGGGCCCTCCATCTCTTGTCCCCTACCCTCCAAATATTTTTATTGATTTCAGAAAGGGAGAGGGAGAGAGAGATAGAAACATCCATGATGAGAGAGAATCATTGATCAGCTGCCTCCTGCAGCCTCCGTCCCCCACTGGGTATTGAGCCCACAACATCTGCCCTTGACCAGGGATCGAACCGGGATCTCCTGGTTCATAGGTCGATGCTCATCCACTGAGCTAAGCCAGGCTCTGGTTGAGCAGAACCTACAGCCGGTTCTTGGAGGAGGGGGAAAAGGAGAGACCTAGTCCCAGAGTGGGTGTTTCATGCCACTCTCCTCTGCAGGGAAGGCAGTGCCCCAGGTGGGAGTGATTCCTGCAGCTCTTGGAGGTGCTGGTGCCATGGCCCTGCTGTCCCTGTGCTTGTGTCTCATCTGCTTTTGCATGTAAGCCTCTGTGGTGGGGAGGTGCAGAACTGAGTACATCCAGAGGGGACTTTTTTTGGGGGAGGGTCCGAGGAAGTAACAGCTTTATTGAGGTAAAATTCCCATATATTTAAAGTGTACAATTCAATGGCTTTTTACTCAGTCACACAGCTGGCATCCATCATCACAATCAATTTTAAAATGTTTCATTTGCTTGGAAAAAAAAAACAAAAAAACAAGCAAAAGAGCCCCACAGCACCTAACTGTTAGTTTGTTCCCATCCTCTCTCTCCCAGCCCTAGGCAGCCACTAACCTGTTTCCTGTCGATTCTGGACATTTCATGTAAAAGGATTCATACAACACATGGTCCTTTGTGACTGACTTCTTTCAAATTATCAAAATATTTCCTTTTATTATTGTAATAATTATTTTGTTTGTTAATCCCATTATTTTTTCCATTGATTTTTAGAGCGAGTGGAAGGGAGGGAGGGGGAGAGGGAGAGACAGATGCAGAGAGAGAGCAGGACACAGAGAGAAACATTGTCAGAGAGACACATTCATAAGTGCCCTCTCTACAAACCCTGACCAGAGATGGGGATCGAACCTGCAACATAGGTCCATGTCCTTGACCAAGAATTGAACCTGTGAACTTCAGTGTGCAGGCCGACGCTCTAATCACTGAGCCACTGGCCATGGCGGTGACATTTTCAAGGTTCGTGTGTCAGCTCTGTATTGCTTTTTATTTACAAACTAGAGGCCCAGTGCACGAAGATTTGTGCAAGAATGGGCCTTCCTTCCCCTGGCTGCCAGCACTGCCTTCACCTCAGCCGGGAGCTGCCTTTCTGCCTTTGCTCCAGTCCGGAGCCACCTTTCCACCTTCCCACGCTGCCCAGAGGCCCAGAATGGCTGGGGCAGCGCAGGAAGCAGGTGTCCTGTCTGTCCTAGCCACTCTGTGCCTGCATATGCAAATTAACCTGCCATCCTTGTTGGGTTAATTTGCATAGTCGCTCCTGATTGGCTGGTGGGCATTTCAAAGATATGATCAATTTGCTTATTTCTCTTTTATTCTTGTAGATAGCATCCCATGGTATGGGTGGGGCACATTTTATCTGTCCATTCCTTCATTGATGGACATTTCGGTTGCCTGGACTTTTTGGCTACCATGAATTACACTGATGATGGCTCATGCACAAGTCTCTGCATGTGAGAGGGGTCTTGGTGATGAACATTCAGTCGTGGCCAAGCACCTGGATAATTCAGGAGGATGAGGTCCTCACCTGCATGTCAGGAGTGTTTCTGTGTCTGGCCTCAGGGTCTGGACGCCTCTGTTTTCCATCAGGGAGTGGGGCAGCTGCCCACCGGTGCCTGAGCCATTTTAGCTGCTGACTTCTTCCCTTAGAGTGAAAGCCCACAGGAGGCAAGCTGCTGGGAGACCAAAGGTGATGAATGCTGAAGACCCTGTCATGGGCACAGTAACCTCGGTGAGTGACATGGGTATGTCTTGTAGGGGGCCCTGGGCATGCTTATTCCGAGTCCACACTAAGCTCCTCTGTGGTCAGCTGGACAGACAGCTGAGAGTTGACTTCCCCTTCATTCCCCGGCACCCATGATCAGCCTCCTGACCCAGCCACACTGACCACTGAGCCCACCTCACCTCTCTGATAGGCTCAGGCTGCCAGAACCATCTCCCCAAAAGTATTACTTTCTACCCATTGTGGGCATGTTCCTCCACCTCTCCTCACCTCAGTTTCCCCATATGTAAATGGGGATAATGAGTGTCATTCATGCTGGGTTACTGTGAGGACGAAACGTGACTAGCAGGCCTTCAGTATAATATCATATTACACAATGTCAAATGCATTCGGGAATAGTTGAGTTCCTAAAACGTGTGTGTGGAATAAGAGGAAGAATGAATGCTGTCCCATCAGCCCAACTTCCCCTTGGGACCATGTCTGCCTTATCCCTCTCTAACTCCCTTCTCACCCCTTCACTCAGGGTTCCAAGGAAAAGCTAGGGCCAGGCAGGCCTCCAGACCAAGCGCCCCCCACCAAGGATGCCCCTCCCTTCGGCGAGCAACAAGAGCTCTACTACGCCAACCTCAGCTTTTATGAGATGAAGACACGGGAGCCTCAGGACCCGGAGGCCACCAGCAGCCCTGAGTACTCAGAGATCAAGCGTGCGGGCAAATGAGGACTCACTCAGAGCAGTTTAACTGACTTTTCAGGAGCAACCATGAAAAGCAGAAGAAAGCAGATACCATCTTTAAGTGTCACTTTATAATTTATACTCAGCAGAGAGAATTAAAAAATGAGGAAGTAATGCAGATGTTTTGGAACAAATAAATGGGGGAAATTATTGTAGAATTAAACTATAGATTTAAATTCCCAACAATAATAACAGCTGAGCCCAACATAGCTGTGGTGGGATAAATGGATGTTTACATTTCCTAACATGTACATAATACCTAGGAGGAGAGAGAAGTGTTCATTTACTAAAACTTTGGCTAGGTAATTACGATGTCCTAATTTTTTATGGTAGTGACTGTACATAAATAAATAAGAATGTATAAGTTACAAACTAGAAATATATATATATATATATATATATATATATATATATATATATATATATATATATATATATATGTAAATATATATAAGGGGGACTTCCTCTTTTGGCAAATGCTATGTGGAATCTTAGTATTTTGCTGGCACAAATTCAAAAGAAGAAGGCAACCAGAGGGTTGAGAGGAAAGGTACAGAGATGAGACCAGCCCTTCTCCTGACTTTTCCTTCCCAAAAGGAACAGCCTTTCCCAAAACCCTCAAACCTAGGTGCCCTGCTGGCCCAGGGCTGGGACCTTGACCTTGTGAGTTGGGGTCCTTGGCAGAGCTGAGCCCAGGTGTGCTCCAGAACCACGGACAGCGCCAATCCTCTGGCTAGGAGCTCCCCAGCTGGATGAATGGCCCCCTGGAGGCCAAGTCGTGCCCTGTCTCCTGCGGAGATTAAGGCTGGGGAATGAGGCTGGTGACATTCTGTCCTATAAGACATAAGTGCGGCCAAGCCAAACTCCTCCTGAGTCTCCCCCTGGAACCACTGTCAAACTAGGAAAGAGGAGACAGCTTCAGAGACACAATGCATTTCCAGAGGTCAATGGGTCCCTTGCCACTCACACCCTCCAGAAAACCAGTCAGATTCCTGCCTTTTCCTTACTTCTTCCCCACTATTTTGCTTTCACACCCTTTCTTGTACTGTCCTGGATAACAGAAAACATGATCTGTGATCTTTTTCTTTGCCTGGCAGTGTGCTTTGCCCCTCATGGCTCAGTCTACCCTCACCCCCTCTAGGAAACGTTTCAGTCTCCTGCCCTTCCCTGACTTCCTCCCCATTATTTGCATTTAAACCCTTTCTTGTGCTGTCACGGAGCCCTGGACAATGGAAAACATGATCTATGATCTTTTTTCTTTGCCTGGCACTGTGCCAAGTCCACTTCTTCATCTCAAATGAGTGGGGTAAGCAGAGGGAGGTTCCATGGAGACAGTAAAAACGGGGCGCCTTTTGTGGCTGAAAGAACTGTTCAGACGTAAGAAGGTGTGAGTGCAGGGCGCATGGGAACCATGAGAATGGACTGACAACCACACGGCAGTTCAGTAGCTTTCTAAACTGAAATCAACACCAGAAACCCACAAACCAGCACACTCGCATCTGCAGCTGGATCAAGGCCACTGTTCTGTTCTGGCCTCTGCTCATCAGGGGCCCCTTGGGCTGAGTATGAGTTCAGCCATCCATTGGTGAGGCTTCTTGTGTGATCGTAGCTGGTCTCTGGGCCAGAACGGAGAGAGGATTCGGTGTGAGGTATGTCCTGGCTTGCAGACCCCGCTTCTCCCAGAGAGATGCTCCAAGAATACTGGAAAAGCAGAGAGAGACCACACTTCACCCATTCTCTGAGGGCACATGAAGATGAACCTGGGACAGATGATGAGGGAAGAGTGGGATGGAAAGGGGCCATCCTAACAGGTTGTCACCAGACCTAGGGTGAGATTCTCAGCCTTTACTTCCTGGTTGTCCCTGGGGAGAAGGGTGTTCCTGAGATGGGGAGTTGTTGGGGGGAGGCCAACCCAGAAAGAGGCCTAGATGTCTGCTGCACTGCCGCTGCCCCTGGTCACCAGAAAGAAAAGATTGATCCATGATGTCCGGGGCCCTGGACTTGGCCCCTCCAAACCCATGCTGTTGCTGTTGCCCCTGCTGTGTGTGTGTGTGTGTGTGTGTGTGTGTGTGTGTGTAGGGTAACAGGGCTGTGGGAGATGGTTCTTGGTCTTCGTGGGGGTACAACATAGAGAAGGATATAGGGTAAAAGCTGCAGGTATGAGGGCTGGGGACACGGTGTAGGACATAGTGCCTGTGTATCCTCACCTCATGCTTGAGCCGCACCAGCACAGCCAAGGGTTCGGCGAGCCTGAGGGAGGGCTGGCGAAGGATGAAGAAAAAGACAGACAGAGAGAATAAGCTGGGTCTAGGTGGATCTTCTGTGCCTGGCTGACCCCTCTAGATGGTAACCGGAATCCCTGTGATAGATCCTCACTCCCCCCAACTGATGGATGGAGTATGAGAACTGCATCTGTGGCCTGGACATTTCTGAGCACCTAACCAGGCACCTTATCTGGACCAATCAGCACCTGCCAGATACCCTAAGCCCCCGATTCCTAAGTCCCTAAGTGCTAATCATATGCCTTATATGAAACCACCAATCAGAGCATGTCGAGTACCCTAAGCCCTATCCCTTCCCATTCCTCCCCTCAAAAGGTGTGTTCCCCTCTGCAGGTGTTGGTACTCCCCATTGCGGCCGGCAGGGGTCCTTGTCCTCTAATAAAGCCTGTAGTCCTGGTTTTCAGCCCTCTGTCTCATCTCTCACCCTGACCCCTGTAGGCCAGTGGTCGGCAAACCGCGGCTCTCAAGCCACATTCTGCTCTTTGGCCTCTTGAGTGTGGCTCTTCCACACAATACCATGGCTTGGGCGAGCCTATTTTGAAAGTGTGGCATTAGAAAAAGTTTAAGTTTTAAAAAAAAGTTGGCTCTCAAAAGAAATTTCAATCATTATACTGTTGATATTTGGCTCTGTTGACTAACGAGTTTGCTGACCACTGCTCTAGGCGGTAACCAGGACAGAGAAGAGTGCCCTCCAACTGCACCCAGCTTGGGTGGTGGAAAGGAGACATCAGACCAGGCTGCTGAGTCTAAAGCGGGTCACAGGGAGATGGTATTGGGGGGATCATGGAGAGGAGAGCAATCTCTGCAGGTAGGACTACTGGAGTGGCATGGGAGAGAAACCTGGAGGCCGCCAACTTCTCCTGGGCAAGGAAACAAAAGGCTAAGTCCAGCCCATTACTCATCTGAGCAGAAAAACCGCTGCTCCCAGAAAACGCGGCAGTGGGTAACCAGACTACGACTCCCAGAAGGCTTCAGCTCTACTCTCCTAAGATTCCCTGGTGCCTGTGCTGTGGCGGTTCAGCCAGAAGAGCGAGCTTTTCTCTGACAAACTAGGCCTACAACTCCCAGTGAGCTTCGCGCGCTGACGTCACACGCCCCGCCCACCGCCCTCCGAAGGCTCCAGGTGGTCCGCCCCACTTTGCGCCTGCGCCTGGAGCTGGAACTGGACCTGAATTCTGTGTTCTGTTGCGCGCTGCGTGCTGTGCAGTTTATTCCAAAGACGGAGAGGACGATTTTCAGATTTCACGCTATCTTGGGAGTAGGATAGAGTTTGCGGTTGAGGAGGCTTCGGGGTGGGGTGTGGGGGGACTGGGTGTGTTGCGACAGGGAGAGGTAGCGCTTGCTCTGGACATGGGGTGCGCACCCACGCGGGTGGCAGTTGGGTGCGTGCGGGAAGCGGATAGGTTCCGGATTACACGAGCTGCGGGATCGGGCATGGATCCGGTTAGCGTTTAGGTGCAGTTGTTGTCCATAACCAATGCGCACGCCTTCTGTCTGTTAGCGTTGAAGGAAGAGCTGGGGATGGAGGACAGGTGTGGCCCGTGAAACGGAAGGTTCCAGGGGGCACAAGCCCCTAAAACTACAAACAAACAAAAACACGGAGGACCTCCCCAGATCCCAGCCCCTCTCCTGTGTGTTACTGTCTGAGTTCCTCTTGTGTCTAACCCAGTGAGGTCCTTGATTGGGAAGATTGAGAGTGACTGATGGGGAGGGGAGGGTGGCAATCTGCTGTAAAGGGCTAAACCTTGGTCATTAGACTCATTCATTTGTTAATCATTTCCTGAGGCTTCCTTAGAGTCTGGCTTGGCTTGTGAGACAGAGATAAAGCTTTACCACCCCTCTCTCTCCAGACTGGTTGGGGAGATGGGAGTGATAAAGCCCAGAGGTCCTAAGTACTGCTGACCAGGACTTGGGGGGCGGGGGTGGGGGACCATGGAGGTGGGGGAACAGCGCTGAATGAGCAGTCCGCCTGTGCCAGACACTGCTTGGCACTTCCCAGGCACCATCTCAAATTCCTCAGCTGCAGAGTCAGGGTGACAATGAAAATACCTACTCGCAGAGTGTTTTGTGGAGATAAATAAGTTAACGGGGAACGTTTCTGTGTATTGACCAAACGATAAGCTTTCATTATCTTCATCTCATTTCATTCTCACAATCAGGGAAGGCTTCCTTTTCTGGGCCTGGTGTTGCTATTCAGTATACCCGTTACCCACTGGCCACACATGACTAACGGGTGTTTGAGCGGCAGCTAGTCTGAATTGAGCTGTAATGTAAATGCAAAATACGTACCGGATGAGAAGATTTTATGTGAGAAAAGGGTGTAAAACAAAATACCTCACTAGTTGTATCTTGATTACATGTTGAAACGATAATATCTTTTATGTATTGGGTTAGCATCACATTAAAATGAATTGTGCCTGTTTATATTTACTTTATAAATGAGGCCAACAGAAAATTTTAAATTACATCCACGATATATTCGGCCCTGCTCTAGACCACAGTCTCAGCAAATAGTAACGTCACCCTGCCACACACCCCAGAACAAAGGACTATACCTGACATGATTCTTTTGTGTACTTCTGATCCAGTAAATGAACTTTCCCATTAGCCTCTCTCTTATGATTTAGGAAATTATTAAAATAGTATTTCATAAATCATAAAACTCGTTAGAACGTAAAGGTTCGGTGTGGGTGTGGGTAGGATTTTATTATACTTATTTCACCTCTTAACAGTGAAAGAATCTCCCCTATTTTTTTTTTTTTAGGAAGTAACAAGAATCCTTTTGCTTCCATACGTAATCACATTTTTTATGCTACCAAATTATTTTTAAAAATTATTGTTCATAATTAAACTTTCACCACCAAAAGCCTGAAATGG